GTAGCCAATGTCTAAGTTGCCCAACCCTGTCAACCCTGTGTGCTGAGGGGTGGGAGTGATCCTCACTGTAAAGATTTGTTCCCTTTTTTGAGCTACAACATTCATAAGCATAGATAAAGTTCATTAAATTGTAGCGGGTTACTTTTTTTTCCCCCTTTTCTTTCTTCTTATAGTCGAGTTCAGATCATCCAGCCATTGAAGTCAGGTCAAGTAGGTACTGTCTGTAAGTATGGGTGTTCTTGTGCATCTCCCCTCACTTCATATCAGCTGGACGCTTCACTCTCCCCTCTAGTCCTCTGTGGCCATGTCACTGCCTCTTGGCCCTGGAGTCCCCGGTTGTTGCCATACTGCTGGCCAACCAGATCTCAACCTGGGTTCACAGGAGTCTATTGGATGTGGTAGGACTTAGCTCCTAACTAAATTGCAGTTATTCCCCGTGTTCCCCTTATTGGTGACCAACGTGGTCACCAGCCAGCACATGCCTGCTCTTGTATTTCCTTTGAGTCTCAGTCTTGGAAGGGGGTTTGCTCTGAGGGGACCCAACCACTTGCCTTTGATGGCTCCAGGGTGAACAGCTTTCTTGTTCTTGTAGTAGTCAGTCAGACTACCATTATTGATTTTTATTTTTCCTGCCCATCTTTATTTCACGAAGTATCTTCTGTTTTTCTAGCTGCTCCAGGCTGGTTTACTTGTCCTTTCAAATGGAAATTTCCCACCTCAGAAATTTCTGGATGGGGTTCAGGATTCCACCTATGGTCTTACACAATGCAAAGGCTCCACAGGAAGCCTCTTTTACTGGGGCAACTTCTAGCCCCCTTTAAGGTATTCCAATCAGTTATAGGCTAAAGACAATTTGCATTCTATTGTGATGTTTCTGGCTATTCTTTTCTCTACCCTGCAAGTATCAATTTTTTTATTTTTTCATTTTTTTAAAATGTTTTATTGTGAATTATATGGGAGAACATTAGTTTTACATTCATTCTGTCAAGTATCTATTTCACAATGGTAGGCAAGGGAAACCAAGATTCAAAAGACAGCCAAACATCTTAACATTATTCCCCTCTTCTACCCATTCAAACCATGCTTGATATGAAGTGAGAAGAGATACACAATCCCTGTATCCTGGAGCCCTGTTGTTCCAAGGTTGTGCATGCATCATTTACCTCTGACTCACTTAGTCCGTGAAAACCTAACTGTTCTCCCATCCACCTTGTTCTTCCATTCCCCTCTCCCTCCTCCGCCCCGCAGCATCCAAGCTATCCTGTATCTGTTCCTTATCCTGTGCTCTATCTTCCCCTCCCTCCCACCCCTCACCTCATCCCATGCATCCTGGCGATCAGCGAATATGTATGTAATTTTTTACCCCCCTTTTAGGTAAAAAAATTTTTCTTAATCTTTTACAATAATGGTCCTATGCAGCATTTTTCCTTTTGTGAGTGACTGATTTCACTCATCATAACGTCCTCAAAGTTCATCCAAGTTATACGGTGGCTTGCAGCTTCCTTGTTCTTCATGGTGGCATAGTAGGTCCACTGTGTGTATGTATCACAGCTTGTTTATCCATTCTTCAATTGATGGGCACTTAGGCTGTCTCCCTCTTTTTGCTTTTGTAAATAGTGCTGCTGTGAACATTGTTGTGCATATATCTACTCATGTATGGCTTGTATTTCTTATGGGTAAATACCAAGTAGAGAAATTGCTGGATCATAAAGTATTTCTATTTCCGACCTTCTGAGGAAGCACCATATGGCTTTCCAGAGTGTTTGGACCATTTTGTAATCCCACCAACGATGTAGGAGGGTCCCAGTTTCTCAGCATCCTCTCCAGCATTTATTGTCCTCTACTTTTTTGATCTTTGTTGTTAATTGCTGGTGTGAGATGATATCTCATTGTTGTTTTGATTTGCATCTCTCTAAAGGAGCTCTGGTAGCGTAGTGGTTACAAATAGGGCTGTGAACTGCAAGGTCAGTAGTTCAAAACTACCAGCTGTTCCGCGGGAGAAAGATGAGGCTTTCAGCTCCCGTAAAGATTTACAGCCTCGGAAACCCTGTACAGGGTCGCTATGGCACTTAGCAACAACAACAAATGGCTGGTGATCATGAATATTTCTTCATAATGTTTGTTGGAAGCCTGGTCTTTTTATGATTTTGAGTTTTGTTACACATTTTCTCCCATTTTATCCAGGATGCTCTGTTGTGATTGCTTTCAGAACAATCGGCAATGGTGGCTGGGCCCCATCTAATACTTTAGTCTCAGGGTCTTGATGCTGAGGTTTGAATGGCCCTTTAGTCCTTTAAGCTAATTGTTTTCATGTCTCTCTGATTTTCTTCACTCTTCTTTGCTCTATATGGGGGAGAGACCATAGATGGTCATTCACAAGCTTTTTGAAGACTTCAGTCACTACTTACCAAAGTAGGGTATTAGAATATTGTGCTTTGTGCACTGTGTTATGCCAGTTGATGTCCCCTGAAACTGCTCCTGAGCTCCTGGGCCCAGCATCAGTCTGGATTTGTTAGTCATTTAGTTCTGGCTGTTCTACACTTCTGTCCTCCCTCCGCCCCATGAAGCAACAGGTAGTGCTCAGAATGATGTTTTAAGATGTAATAAGTAATTAAAGCACAAGTTGTTGATGGTACATGCCTCTTGTATTGGGGCAGGGCTGGTATAGCAAAGCTTTTTTACAATGAGGACTTTTCCTACTCTTGTGAAAGTATTTAAATTATCCATAAAAAGGTATCTTCAGTCTGTGGGAGATTAGTGGTTATCATTTATGGGCGGTAGGTAAGGAAGTAGATGTGAAAGACATATAATTGAAATGATTTCTATGGGGTAGCTGGGTTGAAGTTGTATTAGGGACGTTGCAGAGGAGCAGAGAAGAGTTAGGGTGGCTTGATGGATGCAAAGACATCATGGTTTTATAGACATCTCATTCTCTTAGCAATTATATAAAGAATTATATGTCGTCATCCTCATTTTAATTTTGATAAAATGTGAGTCAGAGTTAAAGAGAACCAAGATGGAAATCCAGTCTTTGGATTCTAAGTTCAGTTCTCTGTCACTGCCATGCAAAGAAAACAGTGGCTATGATAGAGTCATGATGAGGCTTGGGAAACACCCAGAATTAGAAAGTGGAACATCTGGATTATAGAGTAGAGGTGAATTCGTTGACAAGATTGAGCTTTTGTTGGCTCAGTAGAGGACTGGCATTGAATAACTTGCCATCCTGACCTTTTACCATAAAATAACTCAATGAAGGGAAACATGGATCTTGTGTAACTGAGTAAAGGCACACAAATCTGTGTTTTATACTACTTAGGTGTGTGTACATCATTGCTATTGCTTAAACTCAGATTTCATGTAGATAATCCTTGCGACAGTTTCTAAATAAGAAAAAGGGAGAAATTTGAGAGGTCCTATCTTAGGTATTTACTGCTGGTTGCAAACAAATCTTTTCTTAATTTACTTAACAAATGGTTTTATAATAGATCTGGCATTCAGCTTCAGCCCTACCCTCAGGCATTTATTTACTAATGTCACCTGACTCTGCTTGTCTCCTTTGTGCACACAGATGTTTGCATTCTGTGATGTGAAATGAGAAACTCTGTTGGGGTGGTTCAGGGTGACAGTACCAGTATTTGCAGCAAGTGTGGTTCCTTAGGGTGCAGACAAACTCTAGAGAACTCTTAGAGGTTTGGCAACTGTGATGGGATTTGGGGACACAATCCAGAACATAATCCCAGAATCGCTTCTAGGTAGCAGTCATTGAGCCTCTGAACCTGTACTTGACTTACAGATTGTTAAGACTATTCAGAGCATGTGCCTATGACTGGATTTGGTAAGTGATGTAATCAATTTGTACATTACTACTACATTTAGGGTAGGAGTCCTGGTGTGGCGCTGTGGGCTAATGCGTCAGACTGCAAAGTCGTTTGAACTGCAAGGTTGGTGGTTCAAGCTCACCAGCTGCTCCTTGGAAACCCTATACAGGGTCACTGTGTGTTAGAATCAACTTGACTGCACTTAACAACAACAACTACATTTAGGGTAGAATCCTGGTGTGACACTGCAGGTTAATGTGCTGGACTGCAAAGTCGCTTGGAACTGCAGTGTCAGCGGTTTAAACTCACCAGGTGTTCCTCAGAAACCCTATACAGGGTTGCTACAGGTCGGAACCATTTCAATGGCACTTAACAACAACAGCAACTGCATTTAGGGTAGTCCTGGTGTGGTGGGGTAGGATTATCACTGGACAATTAACCGTGAGGTGCTATTCCTTGGAAACTTTGTACAGGGTCGCTATGAGTCACAGCTGACTCATGGCACTTGACAATAACAACTGCATCTAAGATTATACTTAGGCTAGATTTGATCACTTCCCATAGAACTGATTCCAGACCCTGCTGCTCTGAGTGATGCGTCAAAATTTTACATGTGCTTTTCTGGAGAAAATAGTGTTTTTCCTTACCATATACTGCCCTTTTTATCTAGAATGAAGATCTTTTCTGTGAGAGTAAAATAGGGAATAGGTTCATCCTTCCTATCTCCAGTCCCTAAGGAAAGAACACATTTTACACAAGAGACACAGTAATTGTCAGTAATTCTCTACATCTAGAATGTGCCAGCTCCCTCTTTCTCCTTTCTTAGTCTCCCATTGCAGTTTGCATTTAACTCTTACTGTTACTGCTTTTATGAGACTTAGCCCTGTGCTAGGCACATGTCTCCTTGATCCATAATGCCATTACAGTGCAGGTACAAAGTGGATGTGTAATGTTTGTTGAAGGAAGTTAAAAACACAAGTGAACTCAGAACAGACCAAGAGTCTCAAGACTTTGTATTATAGGCAGTCCTTGGATTACAAATGAGTTCTGTTACTAAATCTGTCTAAAATTGAATTTATACATAAGTTGGACCCGTTAAGTACAATTCATATCTAGTATCAGTTTGTCTTAGGATATAGTACATAGTGTACCTTTTTCTATGCATTAAAAAAAACAACAAAAAAACACTTGTGGATAAAGAAAACATCTTTAACACAATAATTCAGTAGTAATGTTTTGATACGTATCACAAAGTAGCATGTTTGTTACTATGAATCACTGTCTATGCCTTAGACTTTTTTTCTGTAATAACTAATTTGGATGTTCGTAACCTGATGACTGCCTGTACTGGTTCAGGATTCATGCTTTGCTTTTGTCTATATTAGATTAAGGCCTTCCATTATTTATTCACATCGCACACTTCCTATCCACATCCTTCACTGGGGCACCTTGGAGGAGTCAGGATATCTGAGTTCCAACTCAGCTAGGCCACTAGTTTGTTGATTTAAGAAAACCTCCCTTGGCTGGATTCATCACTTACCAACAGCAATAGTGCAGTTCTCTGGATATTATGATTATTATGATTAGTTCTGACATGTTTAGCAAGCAATATTTTAAATTACAATGCTTGTGAATTATTTCACTTCCAAAATAGACAAGTTAGAATTGTATCTGCAAAATGAAGGCACCGTCTTTCACTTAAACATTCTGGTATCTTTCTGATAAGAAAGTATCTACTTTCTTGAGACAGTTACTAGAAGCTGTAAGTCTGCTGCTAGATTCACACCTGAGTTCCCCTATGAGGCCACTTCTATTCTAAAATGCCGAGTCTCTAATCCCTCTCTATCCTGGAACACAAATGAAGCTTACTACTATGGAGAGGACTTTGTAGTTCATTATGAAGGGTACCACACCAATACAGGCCACTGGTGCCCCTCATCTCATTCCTCGTCTGAACCATTCAGGAGGGCAGTCTGGTAAATGTGACCCGATTTCAGCTTCTGGATCCCAATGATTTCTCCATCTCTGGGTCTCTTCAGTCGATTCATAAACCTGCAACAGAAAAATGAACAAATTAAATTAACTGGAAAAATCCCTTTATTCCCTTATCTAGGGTGGTTCTTAAAGCATTTTCTTCATATTACTATTAAGTAATAATGCTTGGTTACATATCTGACTTCTCAGACATTTGTCATTGCTATCAGTAGGTTAAGGGGGTCATGACTAAAATTAATGTCATAATTGAGATTGAATTGAAGTCTCTCATGACCTGGTGGCACTGTGGGTTAGGTATTGGGCAATTCAAACCCACCAGCAGCTCAATGGGAGAAAGGTGAAACTTTCTTATGAGTTGAAATCAACTTGATAACAGTAGGTTTGCTTTTTTGTTTTTCTTTCTCATAATTAGGCAGCAAGATTAAAACTGACTTTCAGGTCCCTTCTGTTTGATCATCATGGAGCTTTTTGGGTGAAGTCTGCTTTGGTCTAGGGAAATAAGAAACTTGACAAAAAGGTAGGGTAGGGGCAGCTGCACCAGCAGTAAAGCTAGTAAAGCACATGCTAAAACCCACCTCTAGCAATGCAATTACAGATGGGGCTGCCATTTACTAGTGTGTAACAGTGATCAAGTTACTAAGCCTTCTGAAGCCTTGTGTATCTCATTTGTGAAATACTGTAATAGAACATACTTCATGAAGCCACGAGGATTAAATGAGATAAAACACTTAAGTGTGTACTAAAGTGCCTGGAACTCAGTAAGCACATAGTGATTATTATCAATTATAATCTACATGCCTGAAGAGAACTTTCTGCTATAGTATATTACTTGATTGATAAAGCACCTCTGGGAAGTAGGCAGGGCAAGCCCAGAAATAGGGCAGTGGCCCTAGAATGAAATAATGAACAGAGGAGGAGCTAATTTAGAGTTGTTCTATTATACCATAGGCTTAAAAGCTGCTAGAGCTGCCTGTGAAGCCGGGGGTTACCAGGTTGCTGTGCTCTGCACAAGTCCTTCATTTTCCCCAAAGTGTCATTACGGATAAGGGGAAGACTATGGACCCTACAGTATGGAGTACCTTGTGCAGAACACGCAAATAGTTGGTACTCATTAAGTAGTCAGAGTTAATCACTACTGGACAATAGAATACCAATTATATAGTGTGATGAATTTTGTGGGGTGTTTAGTTAAGAGGAAAAGGCTTCACAAACATCTTTCCTCAAACATACCAGTAAACAAGAGAGTAGTTGATGAACACAATGCTGAGAGCAACCAAGTAGTGCCAGCAGAAGCACATGGTGATGAACATGATGTTATCATGATCTTTCTGGTCCCATTCAGGTGTTCCAAAAGGTGGAAAGAGCACAAACCCAATCTGGTGGAATATGGAGAGAAGATGGTCTTGTTAGCTGACCCTGTGAAACCACCTCGCCTTCCTGTGTTCTTCAAAACTGCGCCTACATTCTCCATTTCCCACTATCACCCCACCCCCACACTTCTGTTGGCTTGGGAAGGGCCTTTTTTTCTTTGAAGCATTTTATTTTGTAGTAGTTTTAGATTTACAGAAGAGTTGTAAAGATTTTATTGAGAGATTCTAAACTATTCACCAAGCTTTCCTCTAATGTTAACACCATACATAATCGTGGTGTATTGGTTGTAACGCTGGTGCTGGTGCAGCATTACTTCAGATTCCCCCAGTTTTTCCACTAATGTCCTTTTTTCTGTTCCAGCCTATCATGTCACGTTCAGTCATGATACTTCTTCAGTCTCCTCCAATGGTGACCTGGATAGAACCTGTGACTGTATCAAGCAGTCCTGGCTCATATCCAGGTGGCCCTGTGTTACTCTTTAGAAGCCTTTGCGGTAGAACGTTTAAGTGCTCGGCTGCTAACTGAAAGGCTGGTAGTTTGAGCCTGGACAGTGGCTCTGCAGAAAGAAAAAGAGATGGCGATCTGCTTCACTAAGCTTTAGTTACAGCCAAGACAACCTTGTGGGGCAGTTCTCTTCACATGAGTCACCAAGAGTCGGAATTAGTAGCACTCACCAACAACAGTTTTTTTTGACAGTTTCTTAGGAATGCTTGTCAAGCCACAAAAATTGTCTATGTTGATTTTGATTTCAGTATAAGGCTTATTAAAAAAAATCTTCAGGATCCACATTTCAGAAATTCAGAAGAGGAAATGCAAAAGGTGTCATTTCCACTGAGGAGCAAGAGTTTGGGGAAATATTTGATTTAGGTATGTGTGCTTCATAAATTGCATAGCTCAAGGGGTAGGGGGTATGAAGTGGGTGTGGAGAGACAAGACTCTTTAAAGTCATCAGTGGTATGTGAGTGTTGCACTTCCAAGCAGCATGTAATCTTTAGGTCATCCCGTGGACTTCTTGTTGTTAAGTACTACAGAGTCGGTTCCAACTCATAGTGACCCTGCACAGGGTTTCCGAGGTTGCAGATCTTTACAGGAGCACAACGCCTCATCTTTCTCCCGCAGAACAGCTGGGAGTTTCGAACTGCCAAAAGGTTATCAGCCCGATTCGTAATCACTATGCTACCAGAGCTCCTTCTCATCAGTCTCCCTTAATTCAGGCAGTGTATAGAGCACTGACTTCAACAATCACCTGCCAGAACCAGGTGCCCTGCTGAATAGCGAGACTGGTCCGGAAAAGTTCCAGCACAATATTGTCCCGAATGATCACTTCTAGGAAAATAATGAGAGCTCCTCCGAACACAGTAAACAGCAGGAGTAAGTGGATGTGTTGATCCAGTGGTGGTCGGTTATGAACATGGTAGTAGAAGAGGAAACCTGCCACAAACCAAATTACAACCATCAGCAATTGTATTTCAAAGGATTCACTCATTTTCCATTAGCATTTCTTCCCACACTTGTCTCAGGCTAGATTTTTCAGCACTTGGGAAGTCAATTTACAAAATAGAGGGGAACAAACATGCAAATTAATTTCATTTATATAAAATGGGTGTAAATATCAAGGTTATATCTTTAAAAGAAAACTCAGAATCCGTGATAGGGTTTCAAACAGGTAGATGACTTATGACAGTATTTCTATGGATAAGGGTAAATCAAAAAGTATTGCTACAAAATCATAGAAACCTTTATTTTAAAATTACAATATGAGACTTTCCTCATTTCTCAACATACCATCCGCCATCTAGATCTATACAGTGTTTCCAGCTCTCTTAACTCCCCTGAATTCTGTGCTCTTTAATTTACACCACGTCAAAATGGCAGTTTAGGTATCCTAAATGGGCTCAAATCATGTTACCTTGAAATTTTTTTTTTTTTTTTTTTAGTTTGGGGAACAAAAAAGTCTGAAGAGGCCAGATGAGAGCTTTAGGATGGACGCAGGGTAAGATTTCCCAACAAAATTCTCATAGGACAGCATGGTTACCCTCAAAGAATGAGCTTGTGCGTTATGATGATGGAAACACTTTGTAAGGTGCAACTTCGCCAGCCTTTCTCACCAATGCAGTGTTCACTTTTCTGCCACAGTATTACAGAGGAGATGATCACTATTCTAAATCCTTCCTAATACCCTCCTTGTCCCTCTCCCCCCACCCCCCTGCTATGATGGTCATGTGCCCTTCAAGAAAATCCAGTAATGTTACCCTTTTGGAGACCAAAACTGCCCCCACAACCTTTGGAGCTGACCTGGCCACTGAATTGTTTTGTTTTTGAAGACAAGTGTATTACTGAGAGAATTTGTCTGCAGTCATCTACTGATTGCAGATATGTTAAAACTATTAATACTTTTCCTTATCCTTGTATGTGCATCTACATAAATATACATACTTGAAATTCAGTTTTGCCCTCTTCCAATCACTTATTGATTGATCGTCTGGACTGCAGATAAAAGTCTTCATCAGTTAATGTGAGCTATATTGAGAACTCTTCCCTAGTGCTTGCATATGACCATGTCAAGATGGTAGCACTCCAAGCTGTGGTGCATGGGATGCAATCTCTTCTAAGAAGAGACTAATCTTTCTGCATGGGTGTTCAACTAATCTCGACGTGCACACCCATACATGTGAGTATGAATAGGTGGGCATGCAATCTTGACTGTAGACTTTGAGACCTGCCTAAAAACTTCATGCATTATTGGACTGCTTCATGGAATATGACATCTGTACCATCCAGAGCACAGAGCCAAGTTCTATTTAAAAGGCTTTGGAAGCCTAAAACTTTGGAGTTTGGCGGAAAGGTTTTCTGTGACATTTCGTGTCCCTTCTCTCCCTCCATTTTAAATTACCTTCAGTGAATGCTGCCACCGCCATAACCAATCTATCCACCCCTAAAGGAATGTAGGTGACAAGATAGGTGAGCATATCAGCGATTCCTGAGGCTGCAAAGAACAGATACATTGTGCTGTGCTGCCAGTTCATCAGCTTTACCCAGTGATCTTCAGAGTAGAGGTGGAGGTGGGGTCCATCAGGAACAAACTGTTCCGCCAGGATTCCTGCAGCAAATGGAAATGGAGAAATAGCTCGAAGGCAAACAGGAGACCAGGGTTCCTTAAATACACACACACAAAAAACCACCCCCCAAGCATGAGGAAATTAGAGAAGTGTTAAGTGCCACTGAGTTGCTTCTGACTCATAGCAACCCAGTAGATGGTTTCTGAGGAGTGGCTGATGAGTTAGACCCACGAACCTTGTGGTTCAAACCAACCTTGTGGTCCTGTGCTTATCCTGCAGTGCCACACCAGCACTGTAGTATACTATGGTGTGAAATGTTATCAACTACAGATATGACAAAGCTCTGAACACAATTGTTAAGAGCTGTCGAGTCAATTTCGACCCATAGCGACCCTGTACAGGATTTCCAAGGAACAGCTGGTGAGCTTGAACCACCGACCTTGCAGTTCAAAAGACTGCAGTCTGAGGACTCCCTGAACACAATAGAGAGTATGAACACCATATGAAAACACAGCCTAGTGACCAACTGGGCATCTTTCAGGCATTATCTACCAACTCTCAGGAATGAGAGATGATAATTTAGTTCTCAACTTTTCCCTTCCTTGCACCACTCCATTTCCATAGTAGCTAGATCTACCCTCTCTGCCGGTAGAAACTATATTACAGGGCCCAGGAAATGGAGCCCAGTGTCTGGATCTGATGGGACCCTGTGGATCAAATGATCCGTACTCTTACCAATGATCGAAAACAAAGTCCTGACTGCAGCTTCAATGATCTCAACACGTGGATAATTATGGTGCTGGTGGCTGCTCTTCCCCTTTTGGTGAATGTACTTAAATGGATACTTCACTGACCACCAAAGTCCAACTATCAGGAAGAAACTCCCTGGGAGGGCATGACCCTTGAAGTTTGCCATCAGGGCTCCAGGGCACCTAAAAATTAAGAGACAACTGGTAAGTGGTTGAATGAAGAAACATACATGTACCTTGTGGTAGAACATAACCATGACTAAGGATTACAAAATCAAAAGCTACACTAACAAGGATCAAGTCATTCTCATAACATGCCCCTGTGTTTGTGTCGCTGTAGTAACGTCTGTGTGACCAAGAGGATATCACTAAATCTAAAGGCTTAAGAAACTGGGTCAATTAAAAGGATGAGGGAAAACAATTGAAATATAGGTAAATATGGATCCCAGGATAAAGGAGGATACTAGAAAAGCAAAGCATTAAGACAGACATTTCTATATCAAAAACATTACAAGGCAAGCAACAAATTGGAGAAAGCATTTACAACATCTATAACAAATGGATAATTGTTCTTTGTTGTTGTTAGGTGCCATTGAGTTGTTACCGACTCATAGCAACCCTTTGTACAACAGAACGAAACACGGCCAACCTCACAAATGTTGCCACGCTTCAGTCCATTGATGCTGCCACTTTGCCAATTGTTCTTAGAGCACTTAAAAACTAATAATAATAATTAAAACAAGACCATGGAAAAAATGAGCAAAAAACATAATCAGATGATCCACAAAGTAATACAAATTGACAATAAATCTTATATAATTAAAACATGCAAATTATAACTAATTTTTCACATAATTTGAAGGTAATTTGAAAAAATAAATATAGTTTTGCTAGTAGTTAAAAGGAGGACTCTGGTTCTGTAGGTTAAGTACTGGGCTACTAACCACAAGGTTGGTGGTTTGAGCCCATTGGTCACTTCCTAGGAGAAAAACTTTCTGCTCCTGTAAAGATTTACAGCCTCAGAAACCCTATACAGCAGGGGTGTGGAACCTTTTTTCTCCCAAAATTTGTAACACTTGTGGGCCATACAAAATTATCAACTTAAACATTAGCCTACTATATTTGGCAAACATTTAATTAACTCACCCCTAATCTGATGGCTACGGAGCTCTGGTTACAAATTGGGCTGCTAACCTCAAGGTCAGCAGTTTGAAACTACCAGCCGTTCCGTGGGAGAAAGATGAGGCTTTCTGCTCCTACAGATTTGCAGCCTCGGAAACCCTGTGCAGGCTCACTATGAGTCGAGTGCAGGGTCACCGACTCCACGGTACTTAACAACAACAATCTGATGGCTAGAACTGTGGTTGCCTTAGCAGGGCTAGGCCAAAATGATTTCACGGGCCTTATACATACGGCCTGTGGGCCGGATGTTCCCCATCTCTGCCATACAGAGTCATTTTGAGTTGGAACCAACAATAACAAACACTTAAAAACTAGGATAAGCACTGGACTGCTAACTGTAAGGTCGGTAGTTCAAATCCGCCAACCACTCCTCAGAAACCCTATACAGGGTCACTATGAGTTGGAACCAACTCGACAGCACTTCACAGCAATTAAAAATGGCTTATACTATTCTAGATCAGATTTGGTCATATTTTGTAAAATTTAAACAATTTATATAAATACCACCTTATTCCAAAACACAAAACTATTTACAGTAAGAGTATACTGTTATTAAGCGCTGTCAAGTCAGTTTTGACTCATATCGACCCAGTCTACAGTTTCCGAGGAGCAGCTGGTGGGTTTGAACTACCAACCTTGTAGTTCAAACTACAACACAGTCCAGTGTTGATCCTATGGTTCTACACCACTACAGTATCAAAATTATGAGTTTTAGAATTTATTCAGGAGGAAACAATCCATTTCACCTGGGGTCTGGGTGATGATGAGACATGCAGGGCAGGACAAAATTAGCAGTTGATCCCAAAACTAAAACCTAAGAACATAAAGTGCTGGTGGGTTGCACAACCTCTTCCGACCCTGGCTGGTGAGCTGTCTCATACCTCTGGGACTGGCTATTTGTTTCCGAGGGCTATCCATGTTTCCCACACTTACAGTTGAGATTCCCACCATCATCAAGAACTTGCTTAAGATTAAAATATATGCTACTATGTAGTTAAAAAAATAAAATAGTACTGAAAGGCTTACAGTGAGAAGCAGCAATCCCCTATCTCATCCTTGCTTTCTCCCTAGTGAAACCATTTTCAACTCTTGTAGACATGCAAAAACAAGTTAATTTGGGCATGCTGCTTCTCACTAATTGATCATTTCAGGTATTACCTACCAACTTCCTGGTATGAGAAATAAAGATTTAGCTCTCTTACAACCTCTCCTTCCTGTGCACCCCATTATTTTCATAGTAGCTACCTTATGTTGTTAGGTGCCATCGAATCGGTTCCGAATCATAGTGACCCGACACACAACAGAATGAAACTGCTCCATCCTGCAACATCCTCACAATACCACTGTCAGCCCATCTCATTAGATCTTCCTCTTTTACGCTGACCCTTCACTTTGCAAAGCATGATGTCCTTCCTTAGGGACAGGTCACTCCTGATAACATGTTCAAAGTATGAGAGACGAAGTCTTGCCATCCTGGCTTCTAAGTAGTGTTCTGACTGTACTTCTTTCAAGACAGATTTGTTCTTCTGGCAGTACTTTAAAAATTCTTCTCCAACACCATAATTCAAATCCATCGATTCTTCTACAGCCTTCCTTATTTATTGTCCAACTTTCACATGCAAATGAGGTAATTGGAAATAGAACAGTTTGGGTCAGGCACACTTTAGTCCTCAAACTGATCTCTTTTCTCTTTAGCACTTTTTTTTTTTA